AGATTGGAAATTTAAAAAAATAGACAATATTTTTTTAATATAAAGTTTTGTTACTACAATGCAACTACTTTTTGATATGTCTTCTATTATACTTATCAAATTAATAATTATATATTTAAAATAAATAATAATTTGGAAATCGTTAATTTATCTCTATAAATATATAACAAATACAAAGAGAGGAAAAAATTACCCAGTTTTTATTGGGATTCGGTCGCCGTATCTTGTTCAGCCAGCCCTCGATAAAGCGCAAAAAACCGTCCATCAATGATGCTTGTTCAGCATTACTAAGTGTAGTGTATATATCGCATCTTGGAAAACCTTCTAAAATTTTACGAGTCGCAGGATTATTATATGGTAATAGAAATACTCGAAACCTCCAATATTTGAGAGCCTGAAAGAAAGCATATTTAAGATCCTAAAATAAAATGAAACATCTAAGTTAGTATCATCTTAATAATACAAAAAACCAGACTTTTGGAAATCGACTCACTTCCACTAAAGCAAAATCAGTATGACCTCGTGTGCAAATATAATGGTCCAGATAATTCCAGTTATAGGTCTCAAGTTTTTCTGTGGTAAAAGACACTCGCGAGACTTCATACGTATCATGATGCGGAGCATGAAATCGATATTGATAGTGAATATTAAAGGGTGGATAAGGGTGCCTGCAAACATAATTATTACTAATATTTGTTGTATGTTAGAATTTGTGTTTGTGTAATGTGTTTCATTGGAAAAACGCTAATTATAATAAAATTTATTTACATGTTTTTTTACGTATTAAATACAAGTTTTATATCTTATTTTCAATGTATTAATCCATTAAAAAGTTTTTGAAAAAATTAAAAAAAATTTTATATGCAAGAAAATAAAATAAACTATATATATATAATTTAATTTAATTATAAAATAATATTAAATAATAATCATCGGCAAAATTGATTTTGAAACGTACGGTTGAAAAACTAAAAATTAAGTACATAAAGAGATGTACTAAATTTCATTACAATTAATTGGTTGGTAAACAATTTCAATATCAAATTATAAATTATAATTATATTAATATTTACCGTGGACGGTATCTTGTAACTGTTATAGAATTATCGAATAGTGATATTTTATGAAAAATTCTTCCAATGCTAAGTAGATATTCCTCTTTAGGTTCAGATTCAGTCTGTCTGCCACGCATTACTGTACTAATCGTTGGAACGGTATTGCTACCAGCGGCGTTACTTTGATTCTTGTTAAGTGGTGGTAAAATAATTAACTGGAAACCCTTAATATAATACGATATTCATGATTATTCCAAAACACACACAGATATAATTACATAAAAGTACATAAAACTAAGTGCTTTATTTATACTTGGGCCAAACGCTGTGAGACCAGCTCTTTAAATACTTCGACAGTTGTAAGCGGTTTCTTGTATATTGCTCGTTGTTGAGCAAAATCAGCGTTAACATCATCTGGAAGAAGATTGTAGTCCGACACAACGTAATCGTTTTGTAAACTCCGTTTATCTGGGAAGTAATCAGTAGTGATGGGCAGGCACGCGGGAATTGTCAAAGATTTCCAGTCGACTCCTATTTCGAATAAGAGTTTAAAGTAATTGAAGCGATTAAAAATATCATTTTACTGTATATACAAGAAGAAACAGATAAATTGTAATTTTATAACGACAATTTTATTCAGGAACATTTTTTCTCTTGCTTCTATTTTCATTTGATATCTATTTCTTTCTTATGTAGTCACAAAGAATAGATGCTCGATAAGATATCACTTGTTGAAAATAAGTAGAAGTTAAAAAAATCAAAGCATTATTTTATATTTTTATAATGATTATCATTTCATATTTTGATCTCGATTGTATAAAATAGTCTTTATAAGAAAATGCAACTTTAATAACTGAGAAATATTAGATCATTGAGAAAATTACTGCATTGCCGATTTAATGTTCCTTTACCAGTACAAATAATATTTAGTCTGTCTTTAAACAGAAACTGCTGACACATAAGTCTTCATAACACGGAATGTTCTATAGTACATATATTAATATGTAACATAACATTTTTCAAAAAATTAGTTACGTTTCTAATAAAAATTTAAGTTTATTTTGAACAAAAATTATATTATGATTTATATAATTTGTTTATATAGAAATTTATATTCAAAAATTCTTTGAAATATTCTGTACACTCAGTTCAATTTTCATTATATTGAATACGTTCCATATTAATAAATTTGGTAATTGTTTAGATTAGAGGACCCATCCCCCCCCCCCCGATGACCTTGACGTTGACGTATATTATCTCATGAACCTGAATGACTTCAAACAGATTTTAGCTGTTGCTCGTTATTCGTTAAAAAGTCAATTGAAAGTTAGTAATTATTTCATCCGTTTTGCATGAAAAATCGGATAGAAGCGGTCGAAATTTTTCTACGCGTAACAAGGTCCACCACATCTTCCCCTCTACATAGAGACATCCGATTTTCCATGCGAAGCGATGTTGACTCCACTTCCCCTTTACTAAGGGCGTCTAATTTTTCAAATGAGATCCACTTCTACCCCCTCCCTCCTGCCTAGAAGTGTTTAACTTTCCACACGAAGCAAGATCCACCCACAGAAAAAGTCGTTACGCTAGATAAGGGTGGAAGTAGAGTGGACCTCGTTTCATGCGGAAAGTCAGACGTCCCTAAGCAGTGAGGAGGTGAAGTGGACCTCGCATCGCATGGAAAGTCGTACTCCCCTAATCGGTTTATACTTCCCCCATAACCCCTCCCCCCGTCTAGACTTATTTGATTTTTCACGCAAAACGGGGAAATAATTACCATAACTTTGATTGTTAATAAAAAAAATTTTTAACGAGCGACAATTAAAACTGAGAGGATGATGGGCTCGAGAAATAATAGTCACTAATTGTCAATAATAATTCTAATATACTTTTTAATGTAAAGTATATGAACGATACAATGCTCTCGTGTATAGCGTGCAACGATCAAGGATCAAGAAGAAAAACGTGCTCAGAGTTGCCAAATTTAGAATCACAGTCTCGTGCTGCCATCTATCTAACTTAGATTCGTTTTCCTATTGGTCTCTGAGTCCTAGTAACTGTTATGCCTTCTTGTCTACACCTATGAACATAAAAATCTTAATGACATGTAAATGATAAAAACAACCTCTCAAAATCAACCCTCTTGGTTTTATCGGTCCATGGTTGACATAAATCTCTTCACATGTTTCAATAAAGTGGGACCGCTTAAGGCGATGCTAAAGCGCCCAATAGTGACATCTTTTATTCATTTCTTACATTATATTATATATCATTCTGTCTTACTCAAACGCATACATATGTCCTTATCTAACATATGCCAGCACCATCTATCGCAAGCTGCGCAACTACTGCTACACGGAATTTCGGCTCCCAGTCTTCACAAAGCATCCGTATACACATATTTTTCATTCGGTGAAAATACTTTTCTTCTAGACTTTCAATTCTAATTCTACAAACTCGGTATCGTTCGTTCCAGTAATGTGACCTCAGCTGCACGCTTATTTTTAAGATATGGACTCTAAAACTCTTATATCAAGCAAATATATATCCGAGATGACAGCTCGGAGCCAAGGCAGCTACGGCAGGGAGCCATGGCAGCTACGAGCCAAAAGTAAGTGAATTTTTTAACTTTTTTTCGATTTTCTCATGAAATCCAATACAGCTGAGGTCCTGTTTGTGCGTACTTTAATTTACATAATAATACTTTTGCAATCCGTAAATCCAATTCGGAGATTTTTCACCGAATGGAAATGTGGGTAAAACAGGAGGCTTTAGCATCGCCTTAAGGGTTTAGTCAAACAATCTGCTCTCATGTTAACGTTTGGCTCATGTCTAACGAGAATGTTCTGTTCTTTCACGGTCTCTCGGATGTAATAGCATCTTCTATTCATTAATTTAGATTTTGTTTTAAAATTTCCACCATTAGCTAGTCTGACGACGTTCAAATTGTCGCATTTCAGTTCACACGGTATCTCATTCGATAATCCAATCTCTTGCAACAGTTTGGCAGTCCATGTCCTCTTTCACACCTTCTAACATTGCCTCTAATTCACTTTCTGTGGAAGATAATGCAACTTTCTTTTGTTTCCTACTTCTCCAATGTACTAAATCTCCATTCCAATAAAGTAGGATTCCAGTGAACGATTTGGCATCTTCTGTTCTGTCCCACGACGCATCGGTTTCGCATTCTAATTTTTCAATCTTTCTTTGCTTCCCAAACTATAGTTAATAATTGATAGTTCCTTTTAAATATTGAAGGATCCTCTTCAGTCCTGACATGTGTATTGCTCTCGGGTCAGTATTGAATTGTGATAAGCAACTTAATGCGAAAGACAGATCTGGTCTAGTATGGACGCTTAAGTACATCAGTCGTCCCATTAATTCTTGATAAGTTCGGATGTCGATCCTTTCGCTCTCTTTGTACTCTTCCATTTTTACGTTCAAATCCATTAGTGATCTTACGGTTACACTCTTCCATCCCGTATAATTCAAGTAACTTTTCGATATATTTCTTCTGATGCACATACAATTTTTCTTCTTCTTGTATCACCTCTATTCCGAGTACAGTTTTAGCTTATCCGAGATCTTTAATTTCTATATATTGTTCAATCTTTTTCATGAATCCTCTTTCAAATTCATTATCGCTTGATACTGTTGTCATATCATTAACGTGGATACTGCAATATAAGAATATATTTTTTTCTCTCGCATAGAATAAACATGGATCTTCTTTAGATTGTTTCATTTCGCATCTAATCATAATCTCAATTAGAAATTCGTTCCAACATCTTCTGACCTGTTTGAGACTATAAATGCTTCTCTTTAATTTACACGCCTTTTCTTGGTTTGCTTGGATCCCATCTGGTAGTTCCATATAGATCTCTTCTTTTAACTTTCCGTGTAGATACGCGGTCTTTACATCGTAAATCTTTATTTTTCTCTCTTTTTTGGCAGTTATACTAAATAATAATCTAATTGTTTCAGTTTTAACCACACACGCACGCACGCACGCACGCACGCACGCACGCACGCACGCACGCACGCCCACCCACCCACCCTTTGTTCCTGTAAACAATGACTCCATATTTATCAAATTCTACTTTATAACCATGATCAGTGATTTTTGCTACCGATAATAAATTCATGTTAATGTCTGATACACACAATACATTTTTTAACCGTATCCTATCTTTATTTAAGTGCTGTTTTACTACTATTTCACCTCGACCATCAGAGGTTAGTTTTTTTTCCTTCTTTGTCAACCAAGGAAATGTCTCTTGTATCGTCCTCTATATTATCAAATACGACTTTATTTCTTACCATATGATTTGTAGCGCCTGAATCTAATAACCATATATATCCTTCTGACTTATCTTGTATTGCATGCTCTGGCCTTTTATTTATTATTATTGTGCTCACGTGTGCTCGATCTCTTACAGTTAATACCGCTTCATCTGAAGTTTTTAATTCTTACTTTCATTATAACCTTGACCACATCCTCTTCCTCTTGAGGTTCCTCTAAATCCTCTTCCACGCGAAACGTTTCTCTTCGGTTCTTTGCAATCAAGGGATTGTATCCCTGGCAATTAAAGCACTTCTTCCTATTTCGACATTCGCTTGATGTGTGGCCTCTCATTCCGTAATTGTAGCATGTACAGTCATTTCTTGATTTATCTCGCGCTCTCCTTTCATATTCCTCCTTCGATGTTTTTTCATCTTTTCGTTTATATCTTCTTGTTTTCTCTTGTTTTAACGCATCTTCTATGTCATTTATAGTTAACTCCCTCTGAGTCTCAAACACTCTTACATTCTGATCGAATTCTGATTTTAGTCCTCTTATAATATACATCCTTAATTCGTAATCTTCTATGTTCTTACCAAGTTGTCCACATTGATTTCTCAAAGCTTCCGCTCTATTAACGTACGCATCTACACTTTCGTCCTTATTCATTTTTAGATTTGACAATTCACTTAATGCTCTTGCCTTCAACTGCTCAGTTTCCGCTGCCATATTGTTTTTAATTTGATTCCATAACCTATTTGCATCTTTTTCATGACTGTACTTTAATAATTGAGCTTTACTCATCGTGTTTATCTTGACTGTACATGCGGCGTAGTTATCATCGTCCCATTCGTTCGATAGACTGAATTTTTCTGCATATCTTTCGTCACCTTCTTCTGATTTGTCGGTTGGCTTCACATTCATTATTTTCTTCCAAAGTTTCTTTGCCCTCGGGATTCCTTCTATTTTTTCGCTCTACAGGAAATAATTTGTGTCGTCAAGCGGTTCCACACTAGTCAAATTCCAATTTTCAGCCATATTGAAAAATGCGTCTTTTTTACTGGAGTAAATTCTCGCGCTATTCAATAGCCCCACACACAGATACACTATGCAACCACGCTCTGCTAAGAGCCAATTTGAGAGGATAATGGGCTATCGAGAAATAATATATAGTCACTAATTGCGTATTCTAATATACTCTTTAATGTAAGGTGTACGAACGATACAATGCTCTCGTGTATAGCATGCA